CTTGTTTTCACTCAATCGTTCTGAAAAGTGCAAAGATGATTACAGATTTACAGATGTAGTGCTCAGGTATTCATCTGGTCTATACTGTTTTGGCTAAACTGGAAGCACACAAGCCTGAAACTGCATCATAAATAAAAGGAACCCAAGAACATCTTCAACTTGTAACCCTTAGAAGAAAGAGAGCGAGATGTTAAATCATGGTACCGGACATTGTCAGTCAATTTCTGTGGGAAATTTCATACAAGCGTACTCAGTATTATCTTACTTCCAGTTATAAGTATTTTGTCACAAGAGCAGTTATAATTAATCCTTAATAAAAAAAGGAATGTGACATCACTGTTCTCCTCCCACACATATGCATTCTGATTTCTTCAGAAAGAAAGAGTTATCCCAAACTGAAAACACTAAAATAGAGCACTATACAATCAATAATTCACTGCAAAATGACAACCTGATCACATAAAAGGTTCAATTTACCTCTGAAGATTTTGTCAAAATTAACAGATTACTTTACTGAAGAATCAGTCTTCTGAGAGGTATTGCAGACATTCTTGCATAAAAACTAATCTTGAACACCTTTCATTGGGGAAAATCTGAGTAATGAAAGAAATTAAGCAGGTTGCAAAAAATATATTGCTCAGAAAAATAGAGTTAAAAATCAAAACCAAACAAAAACAGAACCAGAGAACCTGTTACATATTTTCAGAGCAGGGAAACAGACTCACATAGCACTAATAGAACTGATGCATTAGCTCATTTCTGTCGCTTTCTGTAGAAGACTTTATCAATCACAGATTTTTATCCACTGTGACAGCAGCTCTGTAGGGAGAAACAACAATAAAGTGCAAGATATATTGTATGTATTTTCCAAAGTAAATATAAATGCAACTTCTTTGGATTTGAGACCATTTAAGGGAAAATAACACTATTTGGAGATCGGTATTTCCACGTACACAAAATGGATAGTAATTACGTAGAAATCTTCAAAGCCCTTCTTCTCAGTTGTTGCCATGTAAATTTTTTATTTCTATTAATAAGCACCTACAGCTTTGAAGCTGGCTCCTGTCCCTTGGATTTAACAGAGGTAGGCCATTAATAAAAAGAATATGAAAATACAGTAACTTCGAATAAAGTATATTTTTCAAGAAAGTAGCCTAAAGTAAAGCTTTAGTATATAATAGTTTAAAAGACAATAATAAAGTATCTAGACAAACATTACAATAGATAAACTTACTTGCATCACATAAGGCAAAAATCAAACAGGTATCCAGGATATTAAAAACACTTCCTGGAAAACTTACAAAAACTCTTGCAAACTTAAAGATTTTTTTCTTTAGATTTCCCACTTGCCACCCTCCAGCTTTAGAATTTGGTATTTACACAACGAGGAGCTGGCGAGAGAGTCACAAGACAAAATTGAATGACACCTCTTCTTAGATGTATGCATCTGACTTGGGCTGACAGCTTTACAGGGAAGGCATTTGGATGGCTGGAATCAACTGCTTCAATTTGTGGAGTTTATTTATGCTACATATTAATTTACTTCAGCTTAATGTTCGTTTAGATCTTCATTACATTGTTTCTGATGGTCTCTGAGAATCTTCTGCATTTGTGTCCTTTTCTTTTTAAAAGTATCAGGGACTGTAGATTAGAAATTGTTCCTTTAGAAAATCATAGACCACTATAATAAGCTTGGAAATAATTTATCCCTGCTACAGAGGAGTTAAGAGTGTTTTATTTACATTTCAGTTAGGCAGAGAAATAGGAGTACTGCTTGAACACAACAATATCCCCAGAAGGACAAGAAAAATAATGAATAGGGTCACTTTCAGCAGATGTAGGAGGAACAGAAGAAAGCCATCAGGACTTACAAGGAGACATCTTAGGATAGGGTTGGTACCTATCTCCTGTACAGGGACATTCTGCTTTTCCACCAAAATCTTGAGTCAAAAATATTTTGAGTTCTCCTACTCTTTATCAAGGACAACAGGTCAACACTAAAGCAGGATTTTGAGTTTTCTCTATGAAGCAGTTCACACAACAGTTTGGTGCACTTTTGTATACCATTTAAACATTATATAATAAACAAGCTGGAATGGTATATAAGAGGAAAAAGAAGGTCATGAGTTTTCTGCATGCAAGAGCAATCAAAGTTGCCCAGTATCTAGAAACATGGGAATATATGAGGATGTCAGCAATCAACATTTCCCAAGGCATTTATTTTTTTTTAGAGGCTTTTTTTTTTTTCATCTCCATGGCAAAATCTTTCCTGGTGCTCCAAGAATAAACTGTATTCCAGAGCTCCAGTATATATATATCAGCAAGGTCTGCATGTTGACCAAAGACATACCAGTGGTTGAAGGCTCTCAATGCAAAACTCGTCAGTGATAACTAAACAACAATTATAAAATAATTACTGTAAATAGCTGCACTATAATTTGAGAAAAAACTGCTAGAACAAATGAAAAATTCAGGGCACAAATTAAAAAAATGCAACTCCTGAGGAAAAATGATAATAGCTTCAGGTGAACAAAACATGTGCAGATGTTGGGTGCTGGGTATTAAAGTGAATTAATTCATTAGTATTTCAGAAATATTTTCTACTGGAAAACAGTGTCTAGCCACAGAAAACACAACTTATTAGTGACTAAGCATTTTAGACATCATGCATATCAATGCTGCACATGTTCTTCGGTTGTATTAAAAATAATGTTCAACATAAAAGTTGTCTTCAATTGACCTTGCAAACTAAACAACAGCCTTCTGCCTCAAGTAAAAAAGTCACCTTTTGCATACTATTGTTTTCTTGAAGAGTCAGTTTGGAAAAACTTCAGAACTTCTGCAAGTTTAAAGCACATTACTTTACGCTACTGCACACATGAGAAGAAGCGTGGAAACAAGAATTGCAAGGTAAAGGGTTTATACCTGCATGTAGAGTCTACAGACCCTTGAGGAGAACACAGACTGGCAAAATCTCACTACTCAGAAAGCATTCAGTTATATTTGTTTTCAAACATAAAGTTCTGTGTAAGTTGTGTGTGTGTCTAATCTCAGAAAAAGTTGAGACAGAATAGGTAGCAAGTTCAAGCTGCTATTATTACACAAAGGATTAAACAGCTGCAGAAATTTAAAACATAACATTGCTCAACAGCGCTTATTTATGAGGTTGTTGTTCAAAGGTCATTGACTATTAAAATTAAGTTTATTTAACAAACCAATCTGTTTTTACAGGTCTTAATCCTATAAACATTGCTATCTTGTCAACACACTGCCATATTAAGAACACATGATCTTTTATATCAAGATTAACTTTATACTGGTTTTTTCTGTTCAACTGTAATGAGGAGTACTCCTCACTCGATGACTTTGTCAGCTTCAGCAAATTAAATATGATGTTTTTTGGTTAAAACATAGCCTTAATTCCTAAACCTAACATGTGGCTAAAAAAGGTTCCTAAGGAACAAACATGGTGATCCAGAGCTGTTATCTAGAAAAAAACTTAACATATTTTGAGGAGTCAACAAACAAATAATAGGACAATTAACATCTTCCATGCTGTTAAATTTAGCTAAGAATTATGTCATGTTCTTTATCATCAAATATTAGCCATGTTTCTGCAGCTTATGAAAACAAGAAGCCATGAGATTATAAGAAAGGCTCATTTAATATGTTTTATAGAGACTTTGTTACCAAGAACATTAGTAACTAGAAGATCTCCAAATCGTGAGCATTATCAATTTCAATAATATCTTCAGGTTCCATCTTTGCTTCATGATGCCCCTCCTGTAGATCATCCAGGGAAGCCAGAGCCTCATTCGTATCGCTAGCAAAAGTCTCACGAGATGCATCATCATATTCTTGCAGGTTAAGCCCTTTAATGGCTTTTTTCATCTTCTTTCCTAGAACTTGTATTCTCCTCTTCTTAGCAGCTTTTTTGTTTTCATACTCCTTCTGGTTTTCCAGATAGAATATTTCCTTGAATAAAACAAAAAAAATTTGTCATATTAATTTTACTAGTGTTTCATAAAGAAAACATAAAGTAGTAAATTTTTTTATTATAAATACTGTTCAATAATATTTAACTAAGATACACATTATTGATAGCAGAAATAAGAGGACAGATGGCACTTAAATAATTCTGTTATATAATTTCTTATCAATCTCAAAACGTATGTAAATAAGTATTACTAAGTTTTTAAGTTTGCTGATGGTACAAAACTAGGAGGTATGGGTTTGTGCTGCCATACAGAGGGACCTGTAGAGAAAATTCAGCCAAAGGTTCTATGACAACTTGAGGAAATTTTCCTACATCTTAAAATTTGAGTCCAGGTCTCATGCTCTTTACTGTCAAACATCTGTGAATCCCATTAACATCTTCTCTACTGCAAAATACAACTGTTACAACTCCCCTCCATATTTCAAGGGGGAGGAGATAAGCAGCAGAGCTAAATACTGCTGCATGCCTTTCTTTCCCTGATTATTTTTTAAAAAACATAAATTGCATACAGAAAACATTAACACATTTTTTTTCTCCCCAAAACCTGCAAGTCAAGTGCTAAGCATTTGCAAATCTGTGAGAGTTGTATACATGACAACCTCCATGATGACAGGATTACACATACTTTGCAGGTTTGTATGACAAGTGATGTCTCATACCATTACCTGACTTAAAACCAATGCCTCATTAAACGCTTGCCAGTATCAGCAAGAGAAGAATAGGACATGCAATTACAAGCTCATGGAAGAGGGTCAGAAGAATTTTTTTGAAGAACAGTAGAAAAGCAAATTTTTATTTTTTGTAACACGGTAAACTGATCAAACTTGCAACTTTTTGTGACCACTGTAAGCTACTGAAAGGTTGTTTGTTTTTTTTTTTTTTTTTCTAAACATAAAACAGACAATCACAGTTTATGCTGATTTGTTTCTCAATTCCTAGTACCAGATGCTAGGATGATTTACAGAGTGAGCTGTAGCCACTTGCAAGTAAAACAAGCGAGTCTTTCTTTTAACAAAAACTTTAATAAGGTGGCAAATACCATGAAAAAAAATCAGGTTTTTTAACTGAATCAAGTAAGTACCATCTCAGTCTATTTCATAAGGAAAGGCAATAATACTTACAACCTGACAAAACTAATTTGGTGAGCACCACAGATGAGGCCTGTGAGCAATTTAGACTAGGTTCAGATCACTATCTGACTTACTGGGAAATACTGCCTGATGCTACAGCTGGAGATATATAGGACAAAAATATTCTATTAAGAGAACACCATCCAATCCATGCACAACGATGCACAGCTCCAAAGGGAGAAAGACAAGTGCAGATAACATTGCTGTAAGGCATGTACAAATTAAGGAACATCCAACGTTTACCTCTTCAGACTCTACAGTCTCATTATCCTTTGTGACTGATAGTATGTAACAGGTGTTCTCTCTGCCTAGTGTGAATGGAAATTCATCATTTTTTTCACCCTTATATTTTGAATGCAAAAAGCTGGCTTCTTTGGAAGATAGTTAAACTTGCTAGAAAAAAAAAATTACTTTGGACAATCATTTCCACCTGACAGTTTTACCTTGATTTGTTCTTCTCTGATGCTAGGTGTGTTCTTCAGCAGGTTTAAATAGACACCCCCTGGTGTTCTTCTTCTAGTGCCATTCTTAATAGAGAACACGTAAATTAGTAACGGCGAGCTTAATGCATAAGTGATGACATAAAAATAGCATCTAAGACAATTCTTTGTATTGAGACAGAATTTAAAAAAACTTTTAAGTTCTCCTGTGTTAGCTGTTACATAAAAACAGCCTTGGCTATGTTTTATTTGTGGTTGCACTAGTTATAAGAAGGTCAACAACCAGTTTGCAACATTTGGACAGGTCAACTGAGGTTAAAAAAAATTGCTTTAGAACCTAATACCAAACTATTCAACTACATACTAAATTTGATTTTGGTACTCAAGAAACTAAACATGAATAGAAGAATTCTAACTATTCTCACAACTACCTGCAATAATGTATACACTAGGTTAAATATTCAGAACATTCCTAGGACAAAAGCCCAGTAAAATGTCAAAAAATAATTTCATAAAATTATGTAGATTTTGCGTTTTTCTAATTGCGCTCAGCAATTCCACAGTGTATCTGCATATCTGCAGGATTTTGCATTTCTGCCTAAGGGATATTAAACACAACATGGACTTCAAAGTTTCCCCCACCAACATATTAGTTCCATGCTTCAACAGTTTTCAGTGTAACACCAGTGGTGCAATGTGCCATCCTGAAGCACGAATGAACTCAGCTTTGAAACCTCTGTAAATTACAAGCACTAATTACGATACTATTATTCAATTACCAGTCATAGTATACAAAGCTGAACTGTTACTCCTGTGCTCTGATATTGTATTGAATGTGATACTTTTCTGCTAAATAACAAAGTAAAATACAATCCAAAAGTTACAAGAACAGAGAAGGTCAATTTGTAAGTATGCTCGTGAAATAGCAGATGTCCACACTTTTATCATCCTATCAGCACAAAACCCCAACCAAGAGAAACAGTATGATCTGTCTTTCAAATGTACTCTGATCTGCAGCCAAAGGAACCAGTGTCACCAGGAGCTGTGTGCCTTCATTTTCTTGGTAAACATTTGTTAATAAGTATTTTTAATCTTTTGAGACAATAGAGTGCTTTTAAGACAAGCTGCTATCTGGAAAGCTGGGGGAAGTGGCAGTGGTGGTGTTTTTTTCTTTGTTTTGGGGTTTTTTTTTTCCTCCTTTCTTTCCTCCTCTCTACATCCAATGATGGAACTTAAAAGATGTAAATTAGAGACAAATGCCTGAAAGTACTTGCTAGTTCCCTCCCACTATTGCTTCTGAACTTTTGCACTGAGGCTCATTATTTAATAACAAAAACATACAAAAAAATTGATAATCTAACCATTAAGTATAGGATTTTTACCATGATTTGTAACAGAAATCAGTACTCAAGTTTTGCTCTTCTGATACACAAGCCAATAGTTCTCTAATAAAGCTAACAGATTCCCTTTTGAAAGTTACTCTTCAAATGTGACATTAGAAATGCTCACTACTTGTATGTTGATGTCCAATGGCATGCTGATTAACCCAGTACATAGGTCCGTGCTGTCAAATGTCCATCTGACTTACTGAAGCAACGTGTCAGAGGCTTCACCTGGATCCTAACGCTACAAGCGTTTACTCAAGCTTCAGAATCCTTCACTCTTAGATCTGTCAGGGAAAGATCCCAAGGGGAGGTAGAGGAATACATACAATGTTATCACTGCAAATCAGATACTCATCTTAGTACAAAAAGTTAAGGGCCACATTAGTACCTATTAAGCAAGTTTCATGGCAACATAAGGCCATGAAACTCTGGGAAAACCTGTCCAATATGAAAGCTGTGTGATAGTACTATGCAAATATTCTACAAGTAAAAAGTTATGTGTGTGTGTCCCAACCCCACAATATCACATTTTTCTTACCACTATGAACAGTCCACCATTTTGTTCCACTTCAGCTGTTTCCATAAGCAGTTCGATAGCTTTTCTCTTCCCAATTATTTTCACTACCCGGGCAATCAAATCTTTCTTTGGCTCACAAAGCCTGAAAGGAGGAAAAAAAAGGTACATCTTTTGTCAGTATAATTTCTTGAATACAAGCGACCATGGAACTTCCATAATGAATAATTCATTCTGTGGGACATAAAACTGTGCTAAAATTAAAAGAGTCTACACATTTAAGGGTGTTTCAATGGCTTCTTGAATCAAATTTCAAAATACTGAGCTTCTGAGGAATAGTTTTTTCTAAAGCATATATTTTAAAAATCTGTTTCAAAGAAAATGCATTGATTATTTTTCTTCTATTGCTGTGTGAAAGATAAAACAAATAAGAAACTGCAAAGACCTGTATAAATCTCTGAAATTAAATTATAAAAGTCTGCTGTGCATTTAACAGTTAAAATTACAGCACCTTTTACAGTTAAATCAACAATTAATCAGAAATATTAGTAAGTGCAGAAGTTCCCCTGTATCATGTGCCAGTGAGACAAACCTATACACTAAAAAAGAAACCGGTCTCTTAACTTATCTATGATAACCTATAAAAGGCAAATAAGAAAAAAAAAATTGCAATATTACTGAGTTAAATTGTATTATTTTGTTAGCAACAGTGTCCTCATAAAGAAATTTTTATTTGAGTCTACATGAAGGGTGCAGCTTATATAGCACCAATTCACCAAGCCAAAGTACATACTCCCATTGGAAAACACTGGAAGCCCACAAATCAATACCACATATACTAAATTCGCATTTTTTAATGTCAAAGTTTCTCATTAAGCACAGTCCCAAGCACTATAGCTCAGTGGCTTACCACTTGAGGGACCAGACCACCACTGTTATCAAAATTTCTTGAAGACCACTGTCTAGCCTAAACGCTTGAAGTGACATTGCTCTGCTATAAAGTTGCATAGGTTACAGTGACTGCATAATAGAAGGTGCCTGGCCACTGATGTGGAAAACTATTTAGAACAACCACGATAGCTTCAGCTGCTTCAATTGTACGACTGAAGTTATCTGAAATGAAATGTTAAAACTCACACTTTAGTGACAATTGTCCAAATCATGAAAAGGATTACCCAACCTGCTTAACTTTATACTTGTGTTTAATCTCACCGAGTTCAATAAATCATAAGGCAATAGAAGGTAAACGCTTTCTTAAACATTCATAGGATTGACTTCTAAATTGTGAATTATTAGAACAGATGGAAAAGTTTCTCAAAGATGCAGAGAACTTTAAGATAACCAGGATTCCTTAGAGAGATGATTAAATAGACCTTCTGTTCGTAGCAGTGGCAGCTTAAACAGTCAAATCTCCACCCAGTGCTCATTCTGGCCCTGCACAGTCCTCCTGTACATGTGCTTTAACAAGCAGCTGTGCACTGCAACAGTAACTGAATGAGGTAAAGGGCAAAAAATGGTACAAGACAGTCAGAAATATTTGATTTCTGTTCACTGTGTGAGCCAGCACAACAAAAGGTCATGAATCCAGGCACAGATGGCACAGTGCAGATCAAACAACAGTGCTGTGATGTGTATAACCACAATCCTACTGATGCAGTTCAGCACCACTACTACTGTAAACAACTAGAAAAAAGAGGCTAGTGCCCTGTTTTCATGAAGCTCAATACAACAAAGAAAAGTTTATTACAAGAGACATGCTCAAAGTTTTCAAATTAACAAACGAAAAGCTACCGAGAACTGGTAACAACATTAATAATTGTTTAATTGGTGTATTACAGCATCTGGCAATACTAAGTATCATACGTAAGAAATCAACAATGATCAGTAAACCCATGTTTTATTCGAACATCAAGATAACCATCAGTAAATCTTGTAACACTTGTTCCCTATTTCACACAATTTTCTTCCTTTGCACTACTGAAAAAGCACTGTGGCCATTTAAGTAAATCCAAGTAAGAATTACTACAGTCATGGGCCCTTCCTCACATCATCAGTCCAGTGCTGTCAGTGCCAGCTCAAAGGAAACTGTGCAGCAAATTTGTTCAGGAATGTGTCTTCAAACTAACTTTTCAGAAAAAGCAACAGGCTTTTGGACAGATAAGTGTTCTCACTCAGCTCAGTGTATAATAACTAAATAGCCCAATCGTGAAAAGAATTGGATAGCAGTAAGTGTGCATATGGCTGGAACTTGGTAACCCCAACACTGGCTTCCATAAATTAGCACAGAACTGCAGTGCCATTTCACAATACAGAAAGAGGCAAGGCTTGATTTCAGTGCTGCTGCCTAACCTCGGCACAGCCCTTGGTTACAACACCAGCAAAACATTTTCTTCAGACAAGCATGTTCTATGTAAATAAAATGTCTATTTCAGAAGCTGTGTTCTCCAAAACACTACACATTCCAAGCCATCCACAGTTTCAAAGATGTATAATTTAGGCAGATTTTCTTGGTGACCACAGCACATGTTCATTGGTGTCCAACTCCAAAGACACATATTTACTCATGGGGTACTTCCTGAAAAAGACACTACTAAATCTGTATCAGGATGTAACAGGTTTGCCCTTGGCTGGGGGCCAACTCCCACACACCCACTCACCCAATCCCCACCCCCCACAAGGATAGGGGAGAGAATTAAAGGGGTAAAGGGAAAAAAGGACTCATGGGTTGAGATAAGAACAATTTAATAACTAAAGTACAATCATATTGAAAATAATACTATATACAAACATACAAAAGAGTGATACACAGTGATACTGCCCCCCCACCCAACGACCAAGGCTCAGCCTGTTCCCGGCTAACGATCCTAGAGCCCGGAGAGTCCCAAAACTGCACTCATGGAACTGAGGTAACAGTCCAAGCATCCCAGACCGAGACCTGACCAGGGGGAAGAGAAGGCCTTGGGAGACAACCCGGAGCAAAAGAGATCCAGAACCAAAAAGGGACTATCTTCCGGAGGGTCCTCACCTATATACTGGGCATGATGTGTATGTTATGGAATAGATTATTGGCCACTTTGGGTCTCAATCCTGAACCTAAGATCAAATCCTGGGCTAGTAACTGAGGCTGTGCTCCCTCCCAGCTTCTCTGGTCTGCAGACAGCCAGAGAAGGTGAAAGACCTTGGCAGCGTAAACATCACTTTTTATCAGCTTTCTTCTGAGCACAAATCCAAAACACAGCCTCTTGGTAGCTATTATGAGAAAGTCAACTCTGTCTCAGCTTAACCCAGGACACATGACAAACAGTGCTGTTCCTTGCCATTGTTATCAAGTAACAATCCATTTAGGTGGATCTTTAAAAAAAAATGTTACTGGAGGCTCTTACAATATACCAGCCATAATGCTGCATTTTAATCCCAGGATTTTGGAAATATGCACAAGGAACTCATGCTTTTTGTGATCTGGTATGACACCTTACATATTTAGCAGTAAGAAAGCCTCCCCCCTTTCCCCCTTCTCTTCCATCAACAGCTTACCAATACTTATAGAAGTGAAGATATATTGTTATTCAACTCACCGATAAGCAATTTCATCTGCCACTTTTTCCTCTGAATCTTCTTCTGTTATCTCATACCTTCCTTTATATTTCATTTCTTGTCTTTCACCCAGTCTATCTTTTACAGGCCGCTTTCGTTTGAGAACGCCTTGCCCATTTTCTTCTTCTGCTGGCAATGTTTTCTTGTCATCATGCATGTATTCATCCAGTTCTTTATCTAAAGTCTCTGCCTCCTTTTGTTTAGCTTCTTTCATCAGCTTTTTAGCCAATAAATAATTGTAAGTCTCAGACTGTCTGCTTCTGTCAATACTACCATCCATGCCTAGAATCCCAAGTTCAGTAGCCACTGCATCCTGATTCTGCTCCTGAAGCACTACACCCCAAATGTTGTTGACCTTCTTGCCACCTACAGCAGTTTGTTTTTGGTGGCTCTGGCTAAATTGAAAAGGCTCACATTTAGCAGGAGGAAGGTTGAAACATTTCTGTCGTTTTCGTTTCCACAGACAGCTGTCATCATCAGATTCAGAAAAGCTTTCATCACTTGAATCCACACTTTTGGTTGTTCGGTAAGGAACACTTGGTATACATGAAGAAATGCTACTCTGGAATGGTCTGCCTGAATCATTGCCATCGTGTGATTTCTGAAGTGAAAAAGTAAATGTCCATTAATTTAATTAATTCTTGTAAATTAAAAGAGCTATCAAGTCATGTCAAAGATTTCATTAGCTAGTAAACTTAATTTTGACTCATATGACTGTTTGGGCAGTCCTCTATGAGCAATCCAACAGCTGACAGGAGCATCCTATGAATCTTCTGTATTTTGAATGCTTGTATATGAAAGACAGCACGGCTGCTACAGAAAACACACATCAGGAGTTACTAATCTACTTAACATACTCTTTGTTGAATGAAATTACAATTATTATGTGATAGGAAAAGCTATTAAAACTCCCAAATCGGAGAAAGACACAACATGAACACAGTTCTAAGAAAGGTTAGGAAAAAAAAAACATCATGGCAACTTAGCAGAAGTTCTTTCAACAGCACAGAAATTAATATTCTCTTTGGAGTCTGAAAGAGATCAAGAGTAGTGTTCTGCAACCATAATAGTGTTCCCAGAGACTCAAGTGAAAAGAATACAAATTAAGAAAAAATGACCAAAAAACTCAAAACCAAACCGACAAAACTTTGATGCTGCTCAGACTTTGAGAGGCTAACACTGTATTGTGATTATGGTTCAATCAGGACAGCGCATGACTATGTAGGGACAGCAGTACCTTAGAGAAGAACCAGGGTTTCCTTCCTTTAAAACAACAAGACATCACATACTTACTATGGCTTTTTAATAATTAGTACAAAAACCCTGAAGATTTCAACTTACTTCACAAAAAAGTCTCATTGCTATAAGAATATTCAAGAAATGCTGTTTCCCCATACACTTGACAAATTAACTTAAATATGAAAGCAAAACCTGCTCAAATATGCATAACTTGTGAAAGCACCATAGGTAACATAACCCAGAATTTTTTATTCCCAACTGCTGGAAACTGTCGGCCACACCGTCTATGATAACCTGCAGTACACATTTTTCTTACTCATAAGTCCAGCTTTTCCCTAACTGATTTCATATAACAAAGTTACATGCTATCCCATGATCTTTAAAAATAAGATCTCTTCCTTCAGTTTCAGACGAACCTTACTGCTTTTACCAACATTATGGCACCATTTTTTCTTCCTCCTGTTAGCAAACAGAGAATAGAAATCTTCAACTTATTTTACTGTGTGATGAAATACAAAGCTCTAACTTAAAATGTGTTCCATAAAGCAAAACTCTACCAACTCTTAAAATTGGAAAAAAAAACAACACCCACGTCTCTGATAATTTATTTTGTGCTACACATACCAGAAGTATATCGCCAAAAAAATCAAAGTAACTAATTCCTTATACCTACAGTGACATATAAACCGATCCATTGTGTTTTGGAATTTTTTCCTGCCCACGTACCACCAGAAATTCCTCGTAATCTACATAACATGCCCTAAGGTGGAAACAATATGAAACACTCGGAAATAATAACGTCTTCAGCAATTCACGGATGCAGAAGAGTTGTAAAGTCCAGCGAAAGCGGTGATCGCCGCTCATTGCTTTCACGCGCTTTTACAACGGCTCATTTCTATTGTTCTTGAAGCGACCAACGGCAACGGTGAGCGCTCTCCCTTGCTCACTAAACCCACAGCCTAACAACAACCAAAGCTTCCCCGCCCCGCGACACCAGGCGGTTGTCCCACACGACCGGGCACCCCAGGAACAAGCCCATTCCTGGGCCCAGGACAGCAACCAGCCCTGGGG